AGGGAAACCACTAATTTTTAATAAAAAAAACAGACTTCAATTCTCATATAAAAATTAAGAGTACCTTTAAATTTCTTCATGATCCAATGATCGGATTTAAACCAAATTAGTAAGTAGTAAATTATAGAATTCGGTTAACGTTATCAAAAGTTATGTGGTAACATACATAAAGAAAAAAAAAACATTCCGACAAATTGATAACCTCCTGTTTTGTTAAAGTTTTGATTCGGTTAAAAATAATGAAAATCCAAACACACAATTTTTTCCTAATAGACGGAGAGCTCATGACCAAAAAAGTCGAGTTATTTATTGTGAGCTTAGCTTGTTAATATATAAATCGTTATACGGAGGGCTGGCTGGGGAATAGCGATCTTGACCATACGTTTTTTGCTATTAAAGATGTCAATTAGAATCGATTACTCAACATACTTCAGATGAATTTAAATTTTGACAGAATTTTATTTACAGTATATAGAAAATGGACCCAAGGCTGCCTGCCAATTCTAATGGTCTTGAAGTACTGCCAGCCCATCTTGAAAGTGCATTGTTGTCACTGTAATATTTTCTAATTATTAATTAAACTCACAAAAAATTTCAATCGATCTGATGTATGATGATTTTTTTGGTCAAGAGCTCTTGGTCTATAAATATATTATATCATTCACATTAGCTTATACTCACACACACATACACACACACATACACACACATAAGTTTACAAATTATTTTAACATAAATATAGCATTTCACAACACATTTTAATGGAGGATACATGTCTAATAACGACACCATTCAAAATTCAAAAAAAAGCCTTACTACTATTAAGCGGCTCATGGCTTTAATCCTTCTCGAATCCACGTTTAACTTTAGTACTTACTTTAGCAATCCTTACTGCTTACTTTAGTAAGGATTGGAAATGGATTCGACAAGGATTAGAGACAAGCGCCACTTAACGGTAGTAACAGTATTTATTTTGTGAATTTTGAATTGTGTCGTTATTGCAGAGGACCATCGATATGCAGTTTATAAGTATTTTTCCTAATCGAAATGACGCTCACCCACAACAATCTACAGCACAAGTACATCACAAATAACCCTGCCTTATCTTTTAAGTTATTTTATGTTGTATTTTTTCTAAATAAGTAGAAATCTGAAGTCGAGACTTCAACTAAGCCTCTCTTTTTATTTCGGTCGCATGCCGGGCAGTTTCTCAAGAAAATTTCAGTTTTTGCTTTAGTCGTCAACTGGATCGAGCTGGAAACTCCTTTAGATTCTTAGCTTGAATAGAGCTAGTGTGAAAAAATGGCGTCTTAAGATTATCAGTGAGTTGGCTAAAGTTTAACTAAGTGGTGTCGTTTTCAAATATTATTCGCGTGCCGTATGCTTCCTGCTTCCAGTTTCACAATGCTGCCATAGCAGCTCTCTGGCGGCGGTTGTGCTGCGATGGTCGCCGCGATGGCATTTGAGGGCTAAGCCTTATGCGCCGTCATGGCCGAAAAAATGATCTCAGAGCTTAGTGGCGACGAAGAGTGTTCGCAAAACGACATCCAGTACGAATAAGGGTTGTCATCTCTGCGTGAATTCATGCAGAGCCTCTTATTTTGTTATACGTAGGAATGGAATAAATAGTCAATGACCTACCAAATGTGAGAGCTTTGACGGTGAGCTCTGGATATAAGCAATTTATTGTCCCAATAAGCTTAGCAAGTGAACATTTGAGAAGTGCTTATAAAAAAAAATTATAATATGCTATATATATTTATTCAGTTTTAGTACGAAAACTTTCAATTATTTTAATGATATTCATAGGCC